TTTTTTTTTTTTTTTTTTTTTTTACTTGAAAAGTTTTCTTCAAATTCTTGCATAAATTACACGGCCGCATGTAATTTGCCTGTGCAGCTCGTTGGAGAAGGCTCCATTTTTCCTTTTTTTCTGAGCAGGGGCCATGCTAATCCTCTCTGTATCGTTCCAATTTTTTTTAAGTCACCGGTGCTTTTCCTAGCCAATTTGATCCAATGCATCATAAACGCGCAGCATCCTTCGGGGCTCCGCATGCCAGACCGAAATGGCTGGTGGTGCCAGGCAAAACAAAAAACAAAAAAAACAAAAAGTGCCCACTGGGCCACTGCCCACAGCTGTTGGCTTTTTTTAAGTTTTTTTTATCAGTGCGCAGCAGAAATCAGAATCGGGAAAATGAGGCTGGGAAGTATTGATGATTCGAACCCCAGTACCTTGCCCAGGCATTTTGGATGAGCCAGCACTACCGGGCCAAAATGGCTCGTGGCACCAGCCAAAAAAAAATAAAAATAAAATGTCGTGCTGGCGGTTCGTTTTTCTTTGGCATGCAGTGCAAATCCGCATCGGGAAAAAGAGACTTGTAGGTACCGGTGGTTTAACAGATGTCACGAAGGACTCTGGAAAAGTCTCTTGATTACCCCAATTCGCAAAACTCTTCCGATCTGTAGAAACTCCAAAATGTGCACCACCAACCACACACAACAAGCCCTTGGAATCTAATGGCATGCATGGCCTCTTTTAAGTTCAGATCTTAAGATCAGGTAGACTATTAAATTTAATAAATTAGTATTATTTAAATTTAATTTACTATTAAATTATTAATGAATGCAGACAAGCAATCAAGAATGGATGGCCTGCATGAGAGAGGTTAAAATTGGCTTACAAATGTTGCTGTCGGATCATCTCGAATGATGACTTTCAATTCAAGAGCTGGCGTATTTTGAATGCGAACAAGCAATCAAGAATGGATGGCCTGCACTGAGGTTTAAAACGCCAGAACATCGCCCAGGCAAGCTTAAGAAGACGAAATCGAGCCAATCCGAAAATTTTGGAGCGTCGGGGGTACTTGAGAGACAAAAATGGCTGGCGACACCAGCCAAAAGGAAAGAAAAAGGGCCACGCCAGCGTTTCAGCAAAGCTTGGCATGCAGGGAAATCTGCCTCCGCAAAAATAGGCTCAGATGTTCTGGTGGTTTGGTTTAAGCAGCCGCTGTGGCTGAATGCTACACGCGGACTGTTCATGAACGGGTCGTGAGACAAAATCCTGATAGAGTGTCTGATGGATACAAATTGTGCTTGCGGCTTTTGCTTTTGCTTCCTTTGTACTTTTTTCTTCTTCTCTCGAAGTGTAGGCTTTACTGCCTGTGTGTGCTGAGCATATGAGACTTAGTGCTGTAAGTCCGGCTGGAAATGTTAGCGTCAACTTGTTCCTTAGAAGGAGGCGAGCCCCTAACATTATTGTATTTATCAGGGTTTGACCGGATGATCTGTTTGCTAACAGCTGCATTGCGTCTAGCAGACTACCATCGGCCAAAAGGGAATTTGTTACATTCTCCCCTTACATGCTTTTCTGATCATTATCTTGTGCCCAATAATTGCTTGGCCGCCATGTCAGAAATTGCAACCGTCTGGCCGGTACACTGAGTGAATGGGGGTGCCGCAACGATCCGGGTTCTTGAAAAAAAGGAAAAAAAACAACAACAATAAGTGTCGACTTGGTTGTGGCGTATGCCTGAGACTGAAATTTCAAGCTTGACATGCATTTTGTCTTGCTAAAGTTAAGTCATACTGGCTCTTTCAGCTCTCCTCTTTGTTGTTGTTGTTTTTCCAAACAATGAACACAAGACCCAAAGGTTGTGGCCCCTTCTCAACTGGTGGGCAGAAGTTTTTTTTTTTTTTTTTTTTTTTTTTCCCTCCTTCCCCTGGGCAGCAGTCACGTTAGCTACCACAGACAGTTGAAGAAGCATACATCAAACCCAACTTAAGTCTCCTCACTGTCTTCCACTGAACATAATAATGGACCCTCGTCATGACTGTATCATTCCGGATATATATTGCTTGTATACATTCATGTTCAGGGGTGTGCTGGGCAGGTTGAACCACCAGGACATCTGGAAAAGCAGATTGGCCTCTCCTAAAAATCCGGAGGCCATGGACCGTCAGTAAAATGAATAGGTGGTTCACGGCCTCCTATTTTTTTAGGAGAGGCTCAATCTGCTCTTTTGGATGTACTGGTGGCTTAACGCCGGCTCTCTATCTCTTTGCCTTGTGAAACTGATTCCCAGAAGCCAACCGCCTTTCCCTCCCCATTTCCTCATTGTAAAACTTTGAAGATCAGTTTCATTGCTAGATATGCTGCAAGTCATGGTAGCGATGCACAGTTGCTCTCCCCGGTCAACCATCTCCTCCTACTCCTCTTCCTCCTCCTCCTCCTCGTCTCGTGGCTACTACTCCCCCATGCCCCCTCTGCCAGCGTTCGACATATATTCATATTTGTCCCTGATCTGAGTCCGATACTTACCTGTCTGTTTCTGATCAAAACAGTTACTGAAAGCGAAGAGCGATGAGCGGGACGGAGTCAAAGATAAATACAATAAGATAAAGAAAGCCGTGGACGACCTCAGCAGTGCACAGGTATCATCCATATCTTCCTTGTTGATAAAGAAAGCCGTGGACGACCTGAGCTTGTTCATACATGTCTGCTTGAACCTCTGTGCAGCATCCCTCCCTTTCTTCTTCCCTCCCTTCCTTCCTTCCCTCCCTCGCTTCCCTCCCTTTGTTCCTTCCTACCTTCTTTTCCATTCCTTCCTTCCCTCCTTCCCCTCCCCTCCCTCCCTCCCTCCCTCCCCCCCTTTYTTTTTTTTTTTTTTTTTTTTGTTTGTTTTTGTTTTTTTTGAAAGGGCGACGACCTTGATATATTGTCATTGAACTGACATGCCCCAGGTAACTCGGAAGTTATTTTGATTGCATTTGGATTTAATTTTGGGTCTGTATTTTAACAGTTCATCGGTGTACCAACTGAGCTAGACCTGTTGGTCCCCCTCCCTTCCCCTCCTCCCTGTCTCCCCTGTTCATAGATGTCTGCTTGGACCTCTGTGAAGCATTCCTCCCATTCTCCCTCCCTTTCCTCCCTTTCCTCCCTTCCCTCCCTTCCCTCCCTTCTGTCCTGCCCTTCCCTCCCTCCCTTCTCTTCCTACATTCCCTTCCTTGCTTCCCTCCCTCCCCTCCCTTCCTTCCCTTTGTCCCTCCTTTCTTCCTTCACATCCATCCTTGTTGATATATAACTGTCTGGAGTCAGTCAGTCCCTGCTTTCTTCAACTGTTAGCAAGAACCTGTGTAGAGCTCAGTGCACTACGGAGTTGTCCTCAATGAGCTGAAAAGGAAGGAATGCTTCTCACATCTAGGTTACCCGGTCTGTACGGCCGGGCATGTGTCCGTCCGTGGACAACATTTGTGCCTGGGCACACAGAAAAACACTCTAGCTTCACATGTGTTTGCTGGGCTGCTGACGTTGTGGCTGGTTGTCGGCGCACACAGCACCTAAAGTTTCAACACACATTGCTTCTTTTTTGCTTTTTTCAGGGGAAATGCCCCTAAGATTACTGGATCCACACTGATTTGAACTCGTGATTTGCTTATCAACATGTAGCTTGGATCACATTGCTTGTTTCTTCCTTCTCTCATTGTGTACTACTTTGGTCGTTCGTTACCGTCTTCACCCAAATATAAAATGTAGAGTCATTATTGCTGTATCTAGACTGCAAGTTGCCCCAAATACTGCTTATAATGAGTGTGCGTTCTATTCTAGGGCAGACTGTAGTGCATACTTGCAAGCGCACGTCGTGCGGGCGGTTCCCGACGTGCGCGCACACGCCCAACCGATCCCGTGCGGCGCACGACGTGTGGGGGGAACGACCCGTCACCCCCCTCCGAAAAAAAAAAGAAGGCTGGGGGTCGAAACGGTGCGTTCGAGGTCCCCCGCCAAAATTATAATTGTCATCATTACAAGTTGGGAAGGGGCCTGGTGCTCACACAGGAAGAGAGCGCCAGCCCCAAACATCCACAGACGAAGAGGAGGGGGATTAGACGAAGATGAGGGAGAAGATGGGAATGTCGTCACACAAGTGTCCCTGGTATCGATCCCCAATCGTCCCTCGTCAATGTCTCCATTCCAAAGTCGAGTCTGTATCCCAATGTCGTCAACATCCGCAAAATCACCAATCTCTCTCTCGCTTGTAGTCTGCTGAGGCCGAGAATTCAGAGAGTGAGAGGGTGAGGAAGAGATGGTGGACTGAGAGGAGGAAGAAGAAGAACTCTCTCTCTCTCTCTCTCTCTCTCTCTCTCTCTCTCTCTCTCTCTCTCTCTCTCTC